GGTAATTACTTGTGCATTTTCTCTTGATGATTCTGCCTTGGTTTCTTCAGGCATCCAGCAATTTTTTAAGCCCCTCTCCTGGTTCATATTTCTGCACAGCCCGCGGTGAACCTTCTTCGCCAATTACCTTTGCACTTGTTTCTATAACCGCGACTGTACTAATATCATCATTCTCGACTTCAGCCAACTTGACAGGAAATGTGTCCTCAATTGGGTCTTCTTCCTTTGAAGCTTTTGCTGAAGCTGGGATGTTCACTTCTCCCTGCTGACCTTCTTCATATTTCACTGGTAAAGTACTAGGAATTTCTTTAGCAATCTTATTTGTCTCAGATGCTGTGCTCTCACTCTCACCTATTCTAGCAGTATGCGACTCTTTAAGGATCTGCACGAAAGATAGTTTATATTTAAAATACACGTACAAAGAAAAATAATATTTTCTGTAGAGAGGGAGGCTTATAAGCTGACCTCTACTTTCGACTCCACTGCATCCATTGTCTTCTTTGAACTTTTCACTTTCATCTTCTGGAATATACTCTGGTGAGAGGTTATCACCATTGCCTTCTTTCATGCTCTCTACACTAGACCTTTCTCCTCATGAACAATATAAAAAAGAGTATAGCCGTGCGGCTTTATTGGGGCCCTTTTTTAAATTCTTTTTAATAAATAGTATAGACGCACGGCTATACTCTTTACATAGATAGTTTAGAGCATTATGCATTACTATTAGGCCATTACCCGAGTCTCTATTGTCCCCTTATGAGTTTTTTCTTTTCCAGAGTTATTACTCGTATAAAGAATTTAGCATATTCATGTTTAATACTCATATTGTACATGTAAGTACGTATTTTTCATGTTTAATACACTTGTTTTTTTTATGAAATTTTCAATAATAACAACCAAAATGCACGTATTATTGAATAAAAATAAAATATATTAAAATATTAAACAACTAATTATTCATTAAGTAAATAATAATTAAAACATAACTACTAATTGAAGTAATTAAAAAATAGAAATTCTATCCATGCTATTCAATGGGTATAGCCAATCGGCTATACTTTAAAAAAATATATTATATTTATAGAGCTATTGAAGTATTCTATTTATAGAGTAAAGCCGCACGCCCTAAGCGCTGGGCGATTCCTTTTTTTATTTTATAAATCGTATAGCTGCGTGGCTACACTCAGGATTTTTTATATTCTAAAAATAGTATTGACGCATGGCTATACTCTTTACATAGATAATGTGACTTTAAAAAAAAAAAATTAGTTTTCCCCGATTTTTGTTTATCGATAATACTAGTTTAGAGCATTATCCATTACTATTAGGCCATTACTCGAGTCTTTATTATCCCCTTTTGAGTTTTTACTTTTCCAGAGTTATTACCCATATGAATAATTTAGCATTTTCATGTTTAATACTCGTATTTTACATGTACGTACTTATTTTTCATGTTTAATACATATGTTTTCTACAAAATTTTCAATAATACAGACAAAATTCACATATTATTGAATAAAAATAAAATAGATTAAAATATTAAAATACTAATTATTCACTAAGTAAATAATAATTAAAACATAACTACTAATTGAAGTAATTAAAAAATAGAAATTCTATCCATGCTATTCAATGGGTATAGCCAATCGGCTATACTTTAAAAAAATATATTATATTTATAGAGCTATTGAAGTATTCTATTTATAGAGTAAAGCCGCACGCCCTAAGCGCTGTGCGAGTCCTTTTTTTATTTTATAAATCGTATAGCTGCGTGGCTACACTCAGGATTTTTTATATTATAAAAATAGTATTGACGCATGGCTATACTCTTTACATAGATAATGTGACTTTAAAAAAAAAATTAGTTTTCCCCGATTTTTGTTTATCGATAATACTAGTTTAGAGCATTATCCATTACTATTAGGCCATTACTCGAGTCTTTATTATCCCCTTTTGAGTTTTTACTTTTCCAGAGTTATTACCTGTATGAAGAATTTAGCATTTTCATGTTTAATACTCGTATTTTACATGTACGTACTTATTTTTCATGTTTAATACATATGTTTTCTACAAAATTTTCAATAATACAGACAAAATTCACATATTATTGAATAAAAATAAAATAGATTAAAATATTAAAATACTAATTATTCACTAAGTAAATAATAATTAAAACATAACTACTAACGTAATTAAAAAATAGAAATTCTGGATATAGCCAAGCGGCTATACGTTTATAAAAAAATCTATTTATAGAGTATAGCCGCGCGGCTAGACGCTTTCCAGAGCACTGGGCGGGTCCCTTTTTAAATTCTTTTTAATAAATAGTATAACCGCGCGGTTATACTGTTTACATAGATACTGTTTAAAAAATCTATTTATATATATGGACTATCGGAAATTACAATTACAAGAGCTAGTATGTTTTGGATTGACTCCCTAAGTACTGCTCGTGTGTTTAGCGGAAGACAGACACGAGGAGACCGGTAGGTTTCTTCTCTTCTTTTTATGTACTATTTTTTGGTTTAAGACAGACATATGCAGCTTTATTTTTTCTTCGCTGCATGGTACGCATGAATTGGTTTAAATGTTTATGCAGTCGTTTCAAGCTTTGTAACTATTTCAGTTTTGGCTTTCGATATACTTCGAAGAACAATCTGTACAAAAAAAAATAAAAAAATAAAAAGCTAAACTCTAAGTGAGAAAACCTTAAGAGAGAAAAGTTTAGCCGCCGTCCCCCAAGGGTCGTTGGCATCCATCCCTCTCTTCCTCCTCTTCCCTCCCCTCCTTCCTCCTTGCACATCCCCCCTAGCCCCTCCGTCTTGAGACGAGTTTGGTGGCTGCTTGGTTGTCCTACATATGCATGCAGGAAAACATGCCGATTAGAAAAGTTTCTAGGACCACTCGACCCACTCGACTTAAGGTTGAAATGGACACAAGTTGGTTTTGCAATTTTTCAGGCCACATTCACGGTCCTCAGTGGGTAGAGGTTGAATACCTCGGCGGCGATAGGATATTGTTCCTGAGCAAGGCAAGCAACAAGCCCATCTCTGCTACAAGCCTCAGTCTCAGTTATGGCGATTATAAGAAGAGAGTTGAAGGAAATTGCATTTGTTTTGCTTTCGATAATCCTTGCTTAGCATCACCCTGGATGGGACGCGACTTTGGGGTGTTTTCCTTGACAAACAAGAACATCCAGCGTTTTATTGTTCCCAATAATCACCCTCGCACTAGCCTATTCAATACTCAAACTGTTTGGTTCACCCTCGCACTAGCCTATTCAATACTCAAACTGTTTGGTTCACCCTCGCACTAGCTAGCTAGCTAGTTTATTTTTATTATTCATATTGGTAACGTATAGTTAACTTCAGTAATGGTATCTCTTGGTATATTTTCTTTTTTGAGATTTAGGGTTGGATATAAGAATTTAGAAAAATAAAATAAAATTTCACTCAAATAATCAAAGTGATGAACACAATGGCTCTGTACACTCTATTTTCTTGTATATATGCCTAAACAGAATGCACTAGAAGTTGGCAAATAGATTACAAATTTACGATCAGGCAATTCTTTAACCCACTTTATACAAAAAAAGAATATTGAACTTATTCAAGCTGCACAAGCACACATACCACACTCAAACCTCTTAGAACAAGCACACCCGCATGAAACCTTTATTCATCCAATTCTTCAACTGTCGGAACCATCTTCTTGGTTTTGTTTTATTTACTTATTTTTCTGATTGTGTCTTTGAATGAGAAGACTTGCCGGTAATGGCTTTCTTCACCTTGGAAATTGAATGCTTGATACCTGAAAGGATATTATGGGATTTCTTATGTGAAATCTTAGCATCAGCATCTCTAGAGGCTTCTACAATGACGGGAGAATCATAGCCTGGCTCTGCATTTTTGTGTTCACTTTCTCCCATCTCTTCATATGTTCTTACTTCTTCAGCATTTTCGTGCTCTTCTTCTTCTTCTTCAGTTTGCACTTCTTTGCTAGCTGTTGTATCTTTCTCTTCAGGCAACTGAATTATAGATGAAATATTCAATATTATAGGTTACGAGGATTTATGTTAAAATGGTAATTAAGAACATTTGTTTTCTATTCACTGACCTTGCCCCGATTTTCGTTTGTTCTGATCACAGAACTTTCATTGGTCTTCTCTACTTGATACTCTTCAGCTATTGCTTTTTTTTCTTGATGGCTCTCTTCTCTGACAGAGTCTGCCTCAGAATCCTTCGGAAGTTCCTTACCCTCCTTGATCTGATAATATACCCCTTGTTAGTACTTTCTCTAATATATAGATAACGGCAAGAAAAAAATATGATGGGGTAGTCCAATTGTATATTTGACCTCGTCATTTGAAAGTTCAGTCTTAATTTTTTCATTTGCTTCAACTGTTGTGTCACACAGATTCTCTTCGGTTTGAAGTTCTTTGTCTTCAGTTAAATGTTTAGCCACTTGTGTAGTTTCTTTCGGGGATTCCTGCACGAGTATAGATAACAGAATCTTTAAAGATTGAACTTCACACATAATGAAAAACTAAGAGAAGAATGCTTTCTATGCTCTAACCTCATTGTCCCGATTTTCATTTCTTTCGGGATTAAATGTTTCACTCTTCTCTCCTTCATATTTTTCAGCTATCAACTCATTTTCTTGTTCTCTATGGCTGATGTTTTCTCCACTAACATGATAGTGGCATGCTTCATTTCACCTGTGAGCAATGCAGTAGATGGAGTCTCTTTTAATATCACTTTACAGAGTGTCTGCTCATCGACAACTTCATCTTCGGTAACTACATCAAAGCTTTGAGAAGCAAATTTATTTGCTGTTTCACAAGTTTCTTTTGTTTCTTCTGCAGTTTCATCTGCATCCAGTGTCTTCAGAGCGATTTCAGAAACCTTGACATCCTTGGCCTCTTCCTTTTGTGGACATATCTCTTCCGAGGTAGTTCCATGCTCATCTTCAGAGGCTTTGATCTCCTTTTCCTCATGAGGCAATATAGAAGATGGTATCTGAAGTTGCTCTTTTGATATCCCTTCATGGACTATCTGATAAGCAATGATCTCATCTTTGGAAACTATATCAGTGCTTTCAGAATCAGCTTTAGACACTGTTTCAAAGGTTTCTTTGATTTCTTCTTCTGTTTCATCAGCATTCAACTCTTCTGGAGCCCATTCAGAAACTTCGAGCTCCTTGGGCTCTTCCTTGTGCAAGATTGTCTCTTCTACTGACCTTGCAGCAAATAAATCTCCCCCATTTTCATCAGCTGGCATTTCTATTTTCTTGGCATGCTCTTCCTCTATGGATTTGTCTTGGGTTGTAGTTCCATGCTCATGTTCATAAGTTTTGAGCTCCTCTTCCTTGGGAAGCAAACTATGAGATGGTATCTGAAGTTGCATGTCTGTTATCCCCTCAAGGAGTGTTTGATCAGCAATGATTTCATCTTTGGAAACTGCATCAATGCTTAGACAATCATATTTCGAGACCATTTCAAAACTTTCTTTGATTTCTTCTTCACTTTCACCTGCATCTAGCTTTTCCAGAGACAATTCAGAAGCTTTGAGCTCTCTGGGTTCTTCCTTTTGCAAGTGTGCCTCTTCTACTGACCTTGCAGCAAATAAATCTCCCGTGTTTTCATCAGCTGGCACTTCCCTTTCATATGTGTGCTCTTCTTCTATATTCTTGTCTTGGGTTGTAGTTTCATGCTCATGTTGATTAGCTTTGAGCTCCTTTTCCTCGGGAAGCAATGTAGAAGATGGTATTTGAAGTTGCTCTTTTGATATCCCTTCGTGGAGTGCCTGACAAGCAATGATATCATCTTTGGAAACTACATCAATGCTTTGCGAATCAGATTTAAGAACTATTTCAGATCCTTCTCTGATTTCTTCTTCAGTTGCATCAACATCTAGCTTTTCTGAAGCCAAATCTGAAACCTCCTTGTGCCCTTCGTTTTGCAACCTTGTCTCTTCTGCTGTACTTTTAGCAAAAGAAGCTTTGACCTCCAGGTTGTAAACCTTGTTTTCATATGCTAAATCACTAGTTTTTACCTGTACCTCCTCTCCCAATTCATGTTTCTCCAAAGACTCTGCTGAATCTTCTTCTTCATTTGATGTCACCTTTTCACTTATTTCTGTAACTGTGACTGCATCATTGTTGCTATCATCGTCTTCAGCCACTTTGACAGAAAATGTTTCTTCATCTTTATCCTCCTCATTTGAAGCTTTTGCTGAAGTTGGACTGTTACCTTCTCCAGGCGGACCTCCTTCATATTTCACTGGTGAAGTATAAAGAATTTCTTCAGACCTTTCAGCAATCTTACTTGTCTCACACGTGGTGCCCTCACCTACTCCAGCAGCATGTAACTCTTGAAGGATCTGTATAAAAGATAAGATTATATTTAAAATAGACATACAAATACAAACCAATATTTTCCCTAGAGACAAAGTGAGCCTTATAAGCTAACCTCTCCTTTGAACTTCACTGCTTCCTGTTTGTCATCTTTGAACTTTTCACTTCCATCTTCTGGAATAGACTCTAGTTGGAGGTCATTAGCATTGAGTTCCTTTATGTTCTCTATGCTGCTTCCCTCTTCCTTTAACTTTTCTGTCTCCTGGTCATTGTCTTGAGAGTTCTTAACTGTTTCTTCTTGAATTAATTCTGGTGAAAAAACTGCAGCGTTGGATTCTATGATTTGTCCTTCATTGAAATCTCCCTCAATGTTCTTTGGTTCATCAAAGACCTGGTCTAACAGTTGAGGCTTCACCTAGAAAAAGGAAGAAATTTAGAAATATGAGATTAATTAGTGTTTTTATATAATTGTGTTGTGTGCATGCTGTCACATGCATATGCTCATCATATTTAATATTGCATACCTCTTCAGCTATCATGTTATTATTCTCATCCTCAACTCTCAGTGTTGGTTCTGCTTCTTCAAGACTTTGTACTTGAAAGCTTTGCTCTACGGTCTTAACAGGGGCGTCATCTAAATTAATATTTCCAAGTCCTACCTTCTCTTCACCTTCATCCACAACCGCAACTGTTGGAATCTGGTTCTCTAAGAACTCTTTTGATTTGGAATTTTCATCTGATTGTTCATCAATACCTTCAATGTCCAAGGTAGTTCCATCCGTTAAGATGGTTGCTAGACCCTTCTCATCAAGAGCAGTATCAGTATTTTCGACCTGCTCTTTGTTTTCTGCTTCAGCTTCCTTCAAGACTGTTTGGTGCCTCACAATTCCAGACACAGAGTCAGAATTGATAACTGTGGAGCCATCCTTTTCAGATACCTCGGACTGAAAGCAATTACTTTCTTCTGCATGGGTTTCTTCCTCTGAAATAGGAGTATAGAGGTCCTCATTTGGCTTTCTTTTGTCCTCAAAAGTTTCAGAGTTTGTTTCCTCCTCTGTCATATTTGTGACCTCAATGGGCTCTTTACATTCCTCATGCGCTTCCTTTTTCTGTTATAAATTTGTAAATTGACAGCTGTAAATAAATAACATCATGGAACAATCTGAAAAATTGATTTTGATATCGTATGCAAGCTGACCTCTTCATTCAGATTCGACACATAATTTTCTTCTTCCTCTGAGCTTTCCTTAATTGTGCTGTCTCCCACCGGTGAAGAAGAGAGTTCCCGATTTGCCTGTTCCTCTAAGTTTCCTTGTACTATTTTTGTGCTCAAATCAGCTGGCTCAATACACGCCTACATGGAAAAGTGTGAGTGTTGTGATTAGAGAAGACCAAAAAGGGATCATGTATTTCAGTAAGCCTTATGCTTGTGTTCAAGACCTGATATTCCGTGGAGTTGTCTTCAGTTGTTTCTTTATCATTGAATTCTTGAGGATGAATTTCCTGTAATGCATGTTCTCCTGTTTCTTGTTCTCTACTGTTTCTCTCCAACACCTATATAATATAAGAGATGAAAGGATTATAAACTGGGATAGCAGGCATATAATGTCAATATATAACAATTTGTTTCCTCATCGATGATAGCAGGTAGCTTCTGAGGTTTCTTCTAATAGTAACAAAGGCTGTCAGCTTTCAACTGCTGGTTGATAGGAGTTCTACCTAACCATTTTCCAAATCTACATAAATTTTTCTATAGCATTATAGCACCTTGAAGACAATTGATTAAGAAAAGAGTGAAACTAAAATATATATTTTCCCAATGTTCGAAAAATCGCTAGGCCCTAGTGCCTAGAGGAGTAATCGCGGCCTAGGTGTTTCTTTTTTATATATAATTATTTTGTATTATAAATTATAAATTTATACCAAAATCATGCAAAATAAAAGGATACATAAATTATAAAGTACCATAATTTATATAAAACGTGGAAAAAAAAGTCGAGCATAAAACAATAATAGTACTACAAAGAAAAATACTTGAAATGAAAAGCTAGGCCTCTAGACTCTTCATCCTCTCCATATCCCTCCAAGACTCTCTCGGTATCGGACTCAAACTCAACCAAAAAAAACTTTTTGAAAAAAGGGGACCCAGCCCGCCCAAGCGCCCAGACCCGCCTAGCCGATTTTTCGAACACAGAAATTTTCTGTTCCATTTTTAAAATACTACAAGATGTTTTCCTGTGTTCATATGATCAGTGACTTGTTTTTTTATCCTGCGGCTAAGCCAATAACAAAAAGTCATAACATTTTGATGCTAATCTTACCTCCTCCGATCCTGTGTCTTTTTCTTTCGTATCATTTATGGCATTTGTATCTTCTTGTTTGGATTCTTTTATGTTCTGAATTGCTCTCTCCTCCTTTGTGCAGGTAATTACTTGTGCATTTTCTCTTGATGATTCTGCCTTAGTTTCTTCAGGCATCACATCCAGCAATTTTTGAAGCCCCTCTCCTGGTTCATATTTCTGCACAGCCCGTGGTGAACCTTCTTCACCAATTACCTTTTCACTCGTTTCTATAACCGCGACTGTACTAATATCCTCATCCTCGACTTCAGCCAACTTGACAGGAAATGTGTCCTCAATTGGGTCTTCTTCCTTTGAAGCTTTTGCTGAAGCTGGGATGTTACCTTCTCCCTGCTGACCTTCTTCATATTTCACTGGTAAAGTACTAGGAATTTCTTTAGCAATCTTATTCCTATTCCCGCAGTATGTGACTCTTCAAGGATCTGCACAAAAGATAGTTTATATTTAAAATATACATACAAAGAAAAATAATATTTTCCGTAGAGAGGGAGGCTTATAAGCTGACCTCTCCTTTCGACTCCACTGCATCCATTTTGTCTTCTTTGAACTTTTCACTTTCATCTTCTGGAATATACTCTGGTGAGAGGTCATCACCATTGCCTTCTTTCATGCTCTC